TTCCAGGTCAGCCAGGGCTACACAGAAAAACCCTATCTCAAAAAAAAAAATACCCAAAAAGAAGTAAAAAAGAAAGAAAATAATGTATTAGTCTAACATCAAATGGCAAATTTCTACAATGCAAAAACCACAGCTCCTTTTATAGTAAACCAACATCCAGGTGAGACTAGACAGGGGGAGCCATCACACAATGAATGGATGTGCTGGGGGAGACGCCGGTGAAGGAGAGCAAGGAACAAAACTGACAACATCCAGAGGTGGAGAATTTTAGATGGAGTGACTGGCTCAATACGATGCTGCCTGTAACGTGGGTACACAGGAGGTTTGTTGGGAGAAGAATTGTTCAACTTTGGAATGAATTTGAGATGCCACTGGGAAAATTCCAGGCTGGAAATATAGCGCTTGCTCTTTCACTCAGTCTATAAATATTTATAAAATCAATTCTGAGCAACTAATGTTTCCCTCTGCCAAGTGGGAACATTAACGAAATAAACTAGCATTCACGATAGCCTTCACTTTGAAAAAGGGATCCGTTTATTACCCCAAACTAAGAAGGATAGAATTTTCGAATGAAGGCCAGTTGTTTGGAATTCAGTAACTTTAAACTGTTGAGAAATTCTCCTGGTGAAGTTTCTCGGCATGAAGTTTGCTATGACCCGTTGGAAGCATTGTGGTGTTATAGGGATCTGAGGGCCACTGAGTGGAGGAGTGGTCAGCTTCAAAGGTTGATCCAGTCCTGCTGGAGCATGCCTGGAATCATCGCAGGAAGGGGAAGCCGAAGCGGAAGGAACCCGAGTTCCGGGCTGGTATGGGCTATGAGAGATAGACCCTGACTCAAAAAATCTAAAACCATAAGAAGAGAAGAATTGAGGTTCAATTTCTAAGAGAGAGATGACAGAGAGGAAGGGGAAGAGGGGATGAAGGAGTGAGAGAAAGAAGGGGGTGTGGTTGATCATGGAGGTCAAAAGAGGAAGATGGATTTGCTTATCTAACAGTGGCTATTGCTAGGCATTGCCTAGCAAGGGGATGGACTAAAAAGAGGAGCTAGAGTTCAGAGAGCTCATCAGATTTGGCAATTAGGAGGTCACTGGTGACCTTTGTCGGTGCCTTTTCACGGGGATGATGGAACTGGAGCCAAATTGCCATTGGCTGAGGTGTGACTGGGAAGCTGAGGAAAGCCTAGAAGTTAGGCTCTCCTTTCAACACACTTGAGAGCCACGGAAAGAAAAGAGGCAGGAAGAGAAAGAAAGTGATGGAGAAAGAACAGGGGTGAGCCGCCGCAACAGGTCTTTTACACTCTGGTGTAGCGAAGTTGAGTATTCCTGAAGGGAAAGAGGATACTGTCCTGGAGAGAGGGCCCAGAGAAGGGTGGATGAGGCCAGGCCGTGGCGGTTGGGGGGGGGGCAGGGAGGATTAGCCTTTATCGAAAGGGGCAACTTGTCCCTTGTTAGGGGAGGGTGGAGGGTGGGAAAAGACGTTGGAGAGGCAAACCCATTTTGGGGGTTGGGGCAGGGCACTGAAGTAATCCATGCTTGAAGGCCTCTGTTTTCTCAGGGAAGTAGGAGGTGAGGTTGTTCTGAGCAGGGAGAAGGGTGCGGCAGGAACGTGGTAGGGAACTGAAGGAAATTTGGAATGAGGCCCAGAGAAACGTGGAGGCTGCTCTGAGGCCTTGACAGAGGAACCTGTCTGAGGTTGGTGGAGGGATTCCGGTTTGGCAGAGGCTAATTAAGTCTGTCTTCCTCTACCCTCTAAGCTGTGAGCACCTTGGGACAGGAGCCACAACACCTTCCTCATTCTAGCCCATCTTCTTGCCAAGCAGGGCCTAACGAAGTGTCTGGCCCAGAGAATGTGCCTAACTCCTCTGGGAAAAGTCTGGGGAAACAGTCACGGATAACCCTTGCACACTATAATTGATAGAGAAATTAGTTGTTATCTTAATTGCCTTTATTGGAAGTTCCCTTGTTTGGCTTATCCTGGTCTTTCCTGCTATCTGTTTGACCATGTACTAGGTACTAGAGAGAATGGGCAGGCCCTGATATTTTGGCTTAGCAACAGGCCTTTATCCCACAATGGAGGACAATGCCTTCATCTCCTCCATGGCTGGGTGATGCTAAGCTACAACGTAGGAGGCAACAGTCAGGAGCAGTTGTATAGGGAGAACTAAGAGTCGAGGAGACAGGACTGAAGGCTGCCGCAGATTCAGGCGCATAGCTGGAAGCTGAGTGCAGACAGGCATCCTGTGAGGCCTGCTTTGGTGAGAAGGAAGTGGCTGGTGGAATACAATTACAAGGTCAAAGGTGGCATGGTGGGTGATATGACTAAGTCGGGTTGAGCGAGACCTGGGACCGCCAGAGAAATTTGTATCCTCCCCCTTTCCCTCTAACCTCCTGCTTATTGTCAAAGGTCACTGTGATTCTAGGGTGTGATAATATGTCTTGGGTTCTGTTCACTTTGCATGCTGTCTCTTTTCAGCCCAGTCCTTTTGGTTTTGTTCCTTCTCTCTCCTTTGAGCAAATTTCCACAGGATCCCCGCACCCCCCCCCCCCCTTGAGGATACAGCATCCAGCTCCCACTTAACAAAGCTGAGCATCAGAGTGCTTACCCCAGTCTGAAGTAGCACATCCCAGAGGACTCCATGCATCTCATAAAATAAACCTCTGTTTGTGGACAGCAAGTACAGTGCCAGGCCTTCAGGTGGTTGAGCCGTTAGAAACTTTTCCTTTGATTGAGCCAAAATGAGTCTTCCTGTAGCTGCCATCCTGGGGTCTCTCTCTAGCTTGGCCTTGGAAGTCGCACAGAAAAGTAGAATTCACTTCAGTCTAAACCTCGGGTATTTCAAAATGGCTGCCATCTCTCCAAGAGTTTTCTCTGCTTCACAGATAAATGCTTTCGTTTTGTTTATATTTTTAAAAATATGTACAATTTTACAAATTAGTTAAAATATAAGGACTATGTGAACAAAATGCACACACACACACACACACACACACACACACACACTTCCTTTTTCCGAGACAGGGCTTCTCTGTGTAACAGCCTCTGGCTGTCCTGGAACTAGCTCTTGTAGACCAGGCTCGCTACCTGGCCTCACAGAGATCCACTCACCTCTGTCTCCAGAGTGCTGGGATTAAAGTCATGCACCACCAGCACCCGCCCCAACATTTTTTTTTAATTTTAATTGAGAATTCCATGCATCCCATTTTTCAGCCCCTCGTCCCCTTCCAGATCCGCCCCCAATCCACACCCTCCCAACTTCGTGTCTTTGTTTTTACTTTTTGTTTGCCAAACAATATCAGATCAGCTGTGGAAATGGCTTCCAAACATCACAACATCAAAAAGAAGAAAGGAACACCCCACCTGGCTCTCTTACTCCCTGAGCTGACAGCTGCAGCATCTTTCCCTCTACCTGGCCTGTTTTTTTTTTTTCTGTGCATACTGTACATTCCAGATTCCAGATGGTTTCCTTATCACAATGGGATCATCCTAAGTGACGTTTTCGAAGCTTACGCATTTCACTCTTGACCGCATTAGCTGTTTTCAAATTCTTCCACCAAGGCGATCTTCTTTATATGGAGTTGTTTTCTTCATTGCTTTTCCGGAGTAGGGGTCAAACCCTGCTGTGACCATGCTCCACGACTAGGCCTGTATCCTCAGCTCTGTCCTGAACCTTTTTTTTTTCTCTGTACAGATGACAGTGTGGCTGGAATTCCGAGTGCTTGGAGGTGGGAGCTGGAAAAGGGAGCCCTTGAACCAGCTTAGTTACACTCTTTAGCATCTGCCTTTCCCAGTTTGCTGCACTGGTACCCTGATTTTGACTTGTGATTACAAGGATTGACCACAATTAATAAAACTAACGGGTTTCCTATAATTGGACACTGAGGTTGTTTCTAATTTTTGAACATTACAAACCGGGCTGTGATGAACATCCAAGACACTAAATCTAGGCAGGTGCCGGCCACTGAGGTCAGGAGGAATATTTTTGAAACCTCTAAGCATAACGTGCCTGCCAGTTGGTGTAACTGGAAGCTTTTTGGCTAAGGCCCAAAAGGTGGCGAACACCAAGCGCTCTGCTCAAACCTTTTGGCTTGCTGGGGTCACTATTCATTCCCCAGCTCTTGTCACAGAGGGCTCAGGCTGGCAGGTCCTTGGGGACCACTGGCCCAGCAGCCTCATCTCACGTGAGAGGACTGAGGCCAGGGATGGTCCTTTGTGGGCACAGTGCTGGGCAGAAACCCTCCCAGTCTCCAGCACCTGGGCTCCCAAACCAGAAGCTGAGCTGTGCCATTTGGAATCTGCCCTTCAAACTCCCTGGGCCTGCTCCCCACACCACACAGCGTTCTGCTGAGGCCAGAGGGGGCTTTAGGCACTCTTGCAAGTCAACTGAGCAGTGAGGAGGGGTGTGGGGAGGCATTGAAAGGTGACTTGAGGTTCACTCGGCAAGAGTTTGGACCTGCTCCACCCAGAACCCCTCTTTATCCGAAGCCACGTGGCAGGCTTCATGGCAGTGACCCCCGTATCAGGTCCACCTGGCAAAGCTACTTGGGATTTGAGCTGAAATTCCGGGTGAGTCCTTCACTCTTCCTAGAGCTGGCAGCCTTCTTTTCTCACTGGGACCCAACTTTGCTAAAAGGCCCAAGTACCCAGCCCCTTGTCCCAGCCCAGCCTGGGTGGGTGCCTTTGGGTGCTAATGAGCGTGCCCCTCCCTCCCACCTTGGGTCTTGATACTGCCTGGGGAATTCACACAAGTGGTGTGAAACTTGCCCCTTCTTTGTTTTCCTTTCCGCCTTGGAGCTAAGCAGACCCCTCACCTTCACCTGGACCCTGTTTACTGAACTGGGAGAGATTTCACTCCCAAGAACTGTAGCTCTCTCTCTCCACGAGCCCCCTCCCTAAATTTTCACAACCGTCCCACATTCCCCCACCCCCTGCTCCGCCTGAATAACTGATGAGTCAAGGCGGGCCTTATAAAAGGGTCTCTGGGGGAAAAGCCAAACGACTGCAGAAGGTTCTGATAACTGGACGAGTCCGCAGTCGCCTGGCTTGGAGTTCCAAGGATGGACCCTGCTGCTTCTGCTGCTGCTCCCCCTGGCCTGGCTCCGGCCCAAGCCCCCGTCCAGGCACAAATCAGTGGACAAGAAGCTCCTGGGCCTGAAAGGTAAGTGGAGCTTGGCTTAGGGAGATGAAGCTGGGAGAAGGTAAGACGGCCGCGATGGTGTTGGCCCTGTTCTCTTTGAAGAGGGAGACACCAAAGAGCCTCAGACCTTCCTCTATACCTTTGGCTGGACCATTTTACCTCACTCATCACTCCAGGTGACAGGAGTAGGCTGAGAGACAGTGGACGTTGCCAAAGCAGAAAGCCAAGAAGCCTGACCCTCATGGGTTAGTCTACAATTCCCTGAGGGAACAGGAGAAGTTGCCATGGAAATTGGGCTTAGTGCAACCTGGACTTTGGGACCTAGATGGTGGCAGGTGACATAAGGTGAAAGGGACAAAGTCTAAAGAGGCCTTTGGTTGGGGTGCTGCCTCATGTCCTGGGCATGCCACAGTTTCCTATTTCCTTTTCCTTGCCTCTAGAAATCTAGAGGAGAAGCATCAGGCCCAGGACTATTCTGGGTCTTTTCTCCAGCTAGGAAAATGGCAGAGTTCTGCTCTGTACTCTTGGTGCAGGAAGTAGGTAGCAAGATACTCCCTATACGTCGGGTGTTCTCTCCTCCACATATTTCACGTTCGTTCGTATTCAACAAACTTTTAAGTCCCTCCTGTGTACGGGGCATCATAGCAGGGCTTGAGGTTTCAGACATACCCATATATATCATTCAGCCTAAGGGGCGCAAGCAGACAATAACAGAACTGTGGGATAGGGGTGCTGAGGACATTGTTGGAGTAGAGACGAGGGCTATCTGTCACAGCCTTGATTCAGTAGTCAGGGGACAAAAGGTGTTCTGGAGCAGATGGCTTGAGCTAAGCTTTTCGGAGGCCACTTCTGTGACCAGAGGAAGCCTACGTTTAGGCCTTTATCTCTACCAATTGATCTTTTCTGTTTTCCCTAGAGAAACAGGTTTTTGGAGACCCTGGCTGCCCTCCATCAATGACCAACGAAGGCAGGTGAGGATACTGGTAGACTCGGTGAGTTTGAGACCCCACAGCTCTGGGAGGAAGGCAGGGTCAAGGTTTCCAGGACAAACGAGATTGGGAGAGCAAAGTTTAGAGCAGGTAAGGGACCTGGGCTGGACTCCTCACTGATGCTGGACTCTGGGTCTCTTGATCCCATGCCTCCCCCCCCCCCCCCCGCCCGTGCTCTCCCATGCTGCTCCGTGAATGTTTTGTCCTCTAAGAGAACTCTGTCCTCTGAACAGCTTCCAAACAGGCCCAGGAACAGGGGCAGGGAAGAAAACAAGCCCCGCGACTCTTTCTGCTTACGTTTTAACAAGATCTAAGACAGACCCATTGCTACAGGACTGGGCTGGGAGGTGACTGATCTCAAGAGATGCCTAGAGTCTTTTGCAGATTGTCCGAACTGGCAGATCTCTGCCCCTTGATGGGGGAGAGGCACTTTAGCCACATACTAGCTTTTGCTTTGGACAGGCTGCTGCTGGAGCCACAGCTGCTGAGGTCGCCAGGGCCGAGTCTGGGTTCCATCACCCTGTCAGGTAAGTCTCTGGTGTTTGCGTTCAGAATGTGACAAACAGCCCCGAGCACTGTGCTTGCTCATGACAAGGCCGTGACGCAGGAGGAAAGAGACCATGAGACTTAGGAGGCCAAAGTGACTTGCCCTGGAGGACTTCCCTGTCACTGAGACCTAAGGGTAAAATCCTGTGACCCTGAGCAATCACAGAATCCTTCCTTAATAGGAAAAGAAGGACTGCAGTGGTTAGTGATGTCAGCGCTAGACTTGAGAGACGCTGAGGTGGCTCACCCTCTGCCACAGTTATAGGTCTGTCAAAGGTGACATTCCTTCCTGGAACCATTTTGTAACAGTTGCAAATATTCTGAGTCAACGTTACTTCTTCCTTTCCCTCTAAGACCCTTCCTGAAGCTAGCAACCAGCTCTAAGGGTCTTCTTCCTTCTTGCCCCTACTGGTCTCCCTACATCCGAGAGTTGCCTAAGTTAGACACCCTGTTTCTCTTTTGCCCACAGACTCTTCTGGCCGAGATCCCGCTCCTTTGACTACCTGTACAGTGCTGGGGAGATGCTACTACAGAACTTCCCCGTCCAGGCCACCATCAACTTGTATGAGGATTCTGACAGCGAGGAGGATGAGGAGGACAAGGAGGAGAATATGGAGGAAGAGGTCAATGAAATAGGGCCAGAAGGGTGTGCGAGGGTACCGGAGGCCACACCAGACAAGGCCACAGCTCATTCCCCTGACCCACCCATGACCTGTCCAAACTGAAGCAATCCTAGTTACACTTGGCAGGTTTCCAAGGGCATCAATTAGCAGAGTCTCCAGACACAGATTTTCTGGACCAAAACCAGTGTCCTCGAGCTGTCTAGCACACCCTGGCTTTTCTGATGGGCTTGCAAGGCTAGGCCTCTGGCATGTTCTTGTCTGAGCTACTCTTGTGCCAACAGTAGGAGGTTCCTAAGACCCGGAAGGGGATTAGGAAGACTTGATTGCTGAAGGCCTCAGGAAGTAGAGCAGGGCAGGGGATGCCCATGGACAATAAAGCAATCACTCCCCCAGGGCCCTTTGGTCCCCCAGTTTTTGAAGGTAGCCATATGAGCCAGTCTCCAGGGGAGCGAGGCTGACCTCCAGCTTCTTCTCCAGAGATACCATCACCAGATCCAAGCAATACTGGAGCTCCTTGAGGGAAGGGGAGGGGAGGGAAGGGAAAGGAAGGGAAGGGAAGTGAAGTGAAGGGAAGGGAAGGGACGGGAAGGGGTGGGAAGGGAACAAAAGAAGGCATCTTGAGAATCTGCTTGTCTGGGGACCTGCATCCTCTTTGCCTGCTATTCATTCAGTCTGGGTATTGGCAGAAGATGAATCAGGAGACAAATAAATGGAATGATGTTTGCCTTTTTCTTGGAACTGTGCTGATTTCTTAACTGCACTCTGCCCATGTTTTGAAGTCATAGGTAGAGGTCAGTTTGTTGCTCTACCTGAGGTCAGCCAAAAGATTTTTCTACTCGGAGAATGTCATGGTAGGGACAGAGCCTTAAAATGCCAGGCCTCTCTGTTCACTTATGAAATCAGAGGATGAGGTGAAGACTGGGGTAAAGGTGAGATGCCTTTTCTCATTTAGTTGTTGGGGGCCGCTGTCAAATGAGGAGGAACGCTTGGGCACCCAGTAAATGCTATCAGTTTTATCTCTTTGGTTCCCTCAGTAGCAACCATAGCTTGGGCCTTCATGTTTACTTCTGTCCCAATTACTCTTCAACGAATTTTCTTACTTTCAGCATTTTGTTTCACAATCTGTCTGCACACGGGCCACCAAACCAGGTCATGATCTTTCCTCACCAACAGCTAGGTCCTTTGTGGGGGGCCCGGGGGGGGGGGGGGTCACAGATTATCATGAGGCAGTACAGCTTTTTAGGAAAACACATGCTGACATGCAACACTATACATTCATGAACCAAGTCTTTATTATGGTATTCTGGATTCTTTAATCATATGCTTTTGTGTGTGTTTGTTTGTTTGTGGCTTTTTTTAAGAGACAAGGGCTTGCTATGTATCCTAGCCATTCTGGCACTATTGCTGTTAAGACAGCAATCCTCTTGTCTTAATTCTCCACTGTTGGGGTTACAGGTGTCTGCCCCAAAGCCTGGTGCTAATCATCCAATTTCTGACTGCCATTTTAGACTCATCTCTCTGCCTGTAAAATTTGTTTCATTTGCCCTTGAATGTAGCATGCTTTCTAACTCTTCTGTGGCTTTAAGCTCCTGCCTGCGATGGCTTTTCCACTCTCCTGAACCTTTTAAACTCTCATTCATTCAACAGAAGCGCCTTACCTTCTGGGGGGGGGCATCTCTACGTCCCAAGACCAGAATGGAAAACCTCACATGCCCACCGTCTCATCTGTGACAGCGCCTGCCTCCTCCTTGCCTTTGCAGGAACTCACATTTGCTATCCCATGCAACTTTGTAGCCTAGCACCCCTCACACAAGATGGCTCAGAATATCATAAAGGAAACTCGTCCAGGTGTTCTCAAAGCGGTTCTCAGGAGAAGCACTGTTGATCCACTTGTCTACTTTCTCAAATCTTACCTTAACCGTGAGGGCATCTTATTGAAAAGCAAAATGGCACCTCCTTCCCTTGCCCTTCCCTCTCAACCTAAGATAGTTGCTCCAGTTCTGAGCCCTAGTTGGGACTTCCCTAAATTGGATGGACAGGCTGCCCTCTATCGATTAAAATTGAGCCTTGGTCTTGGAAGAAGGTTAGCAGGCAGTTGAACTTTGACCCCTTCAATTCCTTTGGCCCATTTTATTTTGTCTGGTAAGTGAAGCAGAATCTCCCGGGAGCTCGATGCCTGAACCTGGGTGAGTTGCTTCTTCACCCTGAGCTCCAATCTCTTTCTGTGTGTACCATGATGAAGAGATGGGTGAGAACTGCTGTCAGCCTGGCTGTGCCGATTACGTGAGAGGGAACAAAGAGACAGCACCGACCCTGGCACATGGGACAGCTGCTCACGAGACAGCGCTGTTCACAGGGTCGCATCTGTAACTAGGAATTGCTGATGGTATAAAAGAGATCTGTTTCCAGACTGGAGTGTGGTGGTGACTGACTTACCGAACTAATGAGTATGTCTCAGGCCTCTTGGGTTAACTTTTGTCAGCATTTGATGGCTTACCAGCCAAAGCAAAGACGGCAGCGTTTATAAACAATGAAGACACAAGAAAGGCCTGCTGGGAGTTGCTGGACCACTCTACATTCAAGTGGTAGCTAGGTTTGAGGTTCCTTTATCCTGGGACAGAGGTTTTAAAACTTCATAGTCTTTACCAAGAAACCCTTTCATCTAAATTGAACGCAAAAGACCAGCATGTAAATCAGATAAAAAATAGAGCTGCCCCAGGAAATGCAGAAGTTGGACTGTGAGGTGGGGTGGCAGAAGCCCCCTCCCTGAGTGGTACTATCTCTTGGAAGTTGACTCTCTGGTTTTGCTCTTGTGAGAAACACCTTCAAGGATCCCCAGACTGTGGGGAGACAATTTGGAAACACTGACCCAAGAGTTAAGTCAAGAATGATTTGAAACCCAAGGAGGATTAATTAGTAATTTCACATGTCCAATGTTCCGCTTAAAGCCCTTGTTTTGAGTCCTAAGCTCCTAGCATTGCATAGCTCATAAATTGCCTAAGTTCTTCTTCTACCATAGGTTATAGGGCTTTAAAATCCTTGGAATCCCAATATCCTTGCTTTTAAGGTATTATATAGCATAGAATTACAAATCCTTAAATCCTCATGGGCTTAAAGACCCTAAATCCCTTGGAATAGTAATTCTCAACTCTGAGGGAGCACTTCTCCCTCGTCCCCCTCCCCCCTCCTGCTCACATGCCATTTACTAGACTGACATTTTGTCTTACATTCCTCCCAGGCTCGTGTCCTGAAATGGCTTCCAATCCTCTTCCCCCTGCACAGTTGCCTAGTGACTGGAATTTTCTGTTCTAACTAGGCAGAGCCAGTGATCCTGACCTTCTAGCAACTCTATGCCACTACCTAGACCCCGGAAAAATCTCCACACAATCCCAGAGGATGTCTAGTGCCTTCTGCTTGTCCCACCCTTAGTGCTCCATCCACCATCACCCCAGCATGGATTGTCCCCTACTGGGTAACAACATTTGGGGAAGGTGAGGCTGTATTTGAGTTGGGCCTTGAAATAATGGACACCGGTTCAACAAACGCCAGGACCCAGAGAGATCAAAACAATAAAGGATGCCGTGTTTAAAAACAAAGTGAATGGGGAGATTTAAAAAAAAATACAGGTGGAGGCAGGGCGGTGGTGGCATGTGCCTTTAATCCCAGCACTCTGGGAGGCAGAGGCAGGTGGAACTCTGCGAGTTCAAGGCCAGCCTGGTCTACAAGAACTAGTTCCAGGATAGGCTCCAAAGCTACAGAAAAACCCTGTTGCGAAAAACCAAAAAAAAAAAAAGTACAGGTGGAGAACAGCTGGGAGGAGTTGTTGGGAGAGGGGAATGAATATTATAAAAATATATAATATAAGAAAGAAATTAATGATAAAAAATTTAATATGTATGGATGTTTACATACTTTTATGTCAATGCACAATGAGGCTGCAGTAACTGAGGAGGCCTGAAGAGGGCATCAGATCTCCTGGAGCTGGAGTTACAGACAAGTTGTGTGTCACCCTGTGTGTAGGGAATCAAACTCCAATCCATTGGAAGAGCAGCCAGTGCTCTCAACCACCGAGCCATCTCTCCGGTCTCAAGGCCCAAATTTTTACTACCAGAGACTGAGAAAAGGGGACAAACTGTCCACTCTACCCACAGAGGTCCAGTTGAGGGTGTGGGGTGATTGGTGTGTCCTGAAGGGCACAGGTGCGAGAATGACTGGGAGGCATGGCAGAACCGCAGATAGTTCTTGAAGCGTTGCTAAGCAGCAGGCTTGGAGATTTGACATGAAACTTTCATACAGCCCTGAGGGATGGATAGTTAGGGAAGCTGACGCTTAGCATGGTTTTATAAGAACCAATAACCTGGGCACTTGTAAATGCCAAGGTCTTCATATGAATCTCCCCGTTTAACCCTTACAACATCCCCGAGTATAACAAACACTGTCATCCTTATTTTATTTGATTTGATTTTTTGGAGACAGGGTTTCTCTGTAGCTTTGGAGCCTGTCCTGGAACTAGCTCTTGGAGACCAGGTTGGTCTCGAACTCACAGAGATCCTCCTGCCTCTGCCTTCTGAGTGCTGGGATTAAAGGCATGTGTCACCACTGCCCGGCCCATCCTTATTTTAAAAACAAGGAAGTGGAGGTTCAGGGATAATAAGGCGCCTGCTCACAGTTTCACATAGACTGAGTGGCTAAGCAGAGATTTGAGAAACGACAGCATTGACCCACGGTTACAGTGATGGGACGTGGTAGAAGAAGAATTGAGGGCGCTCAGGTCTGAAGCTTTCTATGTCTAGAAGGAGAAAATGAACAGGAGTTGGCAAAGGTTTAGTTCTGTGTGAGGGCCAAGAAGAAAGGTTTAGGTGCTGCCCGGAGGGAAGTGAGTCAGAGGGTGTGAAGAACTCTGGAACAGACGCCAGAAAAAAAAAAAAAAACTGAAGGCCACTGAAAGAAGTCCCAGAAGGAGGAGGGACTTTGGGGGTCTGGTGCTGGGTGGAGAAAAGCAAGCGCTCAGAATTCTAGCTATCAGGCACAGTGCTACCAGAGGTGAGGTACTGATGAGAGAGATGACGGAACAGTGAGTGCTATGCTGCTTGGGAATGGGCCAGGCCTCAGCTGCCCAGACCATGCTCCCCCTGGGTTGGGAAGCCACGCACACAACTACCAACTGCTGAGCGCTCCCTAGATGATAAGCGTGGTGCTTTTCATCCTTGTTACTCCGCTCAGGAAGCGCCTCTCCAAAACCTGGTAGAGTGTACGAGTGTAAGAGTGTGCGTCTTCATGCACACATGCTTTTGACTCACAGAAGTGGAGTGGCCCAGGCAATAGTCACGCAATGGTACAGCTGGAGACCTGCGAGAATACAACTATGGAGTCATGACTTGTGACTGCTGGGTCCTCCCTCTACTCCCCAGAGAAGCCCCAAGAGCCCTGCAGGCAAGCTGCCTCCCACAGACTACAGGAAATAGTGTGTAAACTGTCACCTATACCTGTCACTGGTGACACCTGAAGCCCGAGGAGGAGGCAGATTT